AAGGATTGCTGTGGGTGTGAGTCTTTTTCATATACAAGGAGCTGAGGGAAATAATACATGAATTGACGAGCCATGAATTTGGTTAACCTCTTGAAGGCCACAGATTTAAAGACAGTGGGTAGTGATGCTTTTGGGTTTTCCTAGACACTTATACTTCATGTAATTAAATGAGAGTTAAAAAAGAAGATCCACTACTGTATCAAGCCCAAGTATTACTTGCAGGGAAAAAAAAACATAATAAAATGCAAGTGACTCATGTTTTAACAAAAGCTTGGTACTTAATTTCAGCACACGGAAGGAATCAGCCAAGCGGTTGTTGAAAGGCAAGTTCTGTGGTGCTTTGCTATCAGATGATCACTTCCCCCAAACCTCTCCAAACCTAGCCAAGCCATAATTGCCTCCTTATAGCACCCAGAAATTTCCTGTAATTTCCAGAGATGACATGAAATAATGCTCAAAGATATACCAGGAAGCTCAAACAGCCTCTCTCATCGCTTTAGTGCTTCTGGATTTGATAGCTCAGAAAGATCTAGAACTGTAAGAAAGGAAATAAAGACCATCTTGGGGACCTTACTAAGAGGTCAATAAATATGATTGGCCTCACGCTCCCATGGCTGTTTCTGCACTAGTTAGAGACTCCGAGCACCCTCGCTGAAGCAGTTCATACATCTGGAGAAACAAAATTCAGCAGGCCTGAGCTTTCGCCCGACTCTGCCAGAACACTTGTGAAAGATGCAAAGGTTTCTCTTTCCATGGATTTTTTTTTTTTAAGCAGCAGAAATGAAACTCAAAGTGATTTGGGAAGGATTGTTTTTTCTGTTGCTACCAAGTTATCTGACTACATTTCAGAGGGAGGATCCTGGCTAGAAAAAAAAACAAAAACAGATGAAATGTCAATTTTCTTCCTGCAGAGACAGGAGGAGTTCCCATTTCTATGGACAATTCTTGATTCTTTCTAATTGTGTGTGTGTGTGTGTGTATATATATATATATATATATAGAGAGAGAGAGAGAGAGAGAGAGAGAGAGAGAAGATAAGCTACAACAGCTCAGAAGGCAAGGGAGAGCATTGTCGACTCTCCAACAGCACCCAACCTGCAGCCCAGCTCAGCCAGGGAATTTTAAACAAAAAAGCCTGATTTGGGAGGTGACAGGCCAGTGTGACCAGCCCCCAGTGTGTCCCGAGTTCCACGCTGCACAGAGGGGGAAAGAAAGACCCCCATCAGGGTAGTTAAAATGTACCCTGATTTGATAAAGTGATTTTTTTTTCTTTTTTCTTTCAGAAATGATTCTCCTCTTGTTAAAGGGATGGCACTCTGGGAGATTATCTACCCGAATGCTCTCTGAAGCTAGAAGAAAATAGCAGGCATCTGCGCCGTGTGTGTGCGTCCAGGGATGTAGAAAAGGTGTCACCCATTTCCATCTGGCCCGTGCAAAGCCCTAGCTTTGGTTGGAGCACACAGTAGGTCTTCAGCAGTTGACGGGGACATGAATTTGAACTTTCTTGAGGACGAATTCCGGCCTTCTTTGAACCGCGGGCTCGCCTTGTATCCCCTCCCCCCCCCAGCTTAGCTAGCTACCTGCATCTTTTTTTGGGGGGTGGGGAGTACATTTTTTTTCCTAATAAAAACTGAGTAACTTCAGGGGGTGGGTGTGGCAGTGATCTCAGACAGGTATGGCCCCCACCTGGCCAGCCAGAGTCCCGAGGGACGGGTGGACATGGGGATCCCCCCCTCCACCAGGAGAGAGGAAGAGCTCAGGGTTGGCCAGCTGCCCACGGGGGGGGGGGGGGGGGAGGTGGAGGGCGAGGTCGAGGTCAGCCGGGAGCGGCTGTGGCTCGGGCTGGGAGCGGGCGGCTGGGAGCGCAGGGAGACTAAAGGGGGAGCTGTGAGACCAGACATCAGCCTCGCGCGTACCATGCCCGTGCCAGACGGGCAGAGGGAAAAAGAGGAGACTGGAGTGGTAGCTGGGATCGCGCACCGCCTGCGCCAGGCCGCCTCCCGGGAGAGGGGGCGGAGGAAGGCGCGGAGGAGGCGGGGGAGGCGGAGGGCGAAGGGGCCAGCGCCGGGCTGGGCCGGGCAGCCTCTCCCGCGGCCGCGAGGTGGGGCGCGCAGGCGGGCAGCGGCGTGTCCGGCCCTGCGCCGTCTTCCCGCCGTCGGGGCTGCGCGGGGCCTGGCAGGAAGTGTTCCTCGGGTCAGCCCCGGCCTGGTCCGGGGTGGCCCGTGCTTCCTGCGGAGCCGGGGGGGGGGGGCTCCCCCAACTCTCCCTCGCGCCGCCCGCCAAGGGGGCCCTCGTCCCCGGGGGCGGTGTGTGTGTTGGGGGGGGGCGTTCCTTCTCCCCACGCCCAGCCCGCCGCGGGTAATCAAGCCGGGAGGACGAGGATCACGTGTGGGGAGTTCGCGCCCCCGGGCAGCGCTGGGCAGCTGGCACGCGGCGGCGTTTTAAGTCTAGACTTGTCCCCGTGCGCTGTGTGTCCTTGGGCACAACGCAAACCTTCTCTGGACCAGACGTCGCCTGGTCGCAGAAAGTCAGGGCCCCTCTCTACCTCTCAGGTTTAAGTGGGTGTGTGGAGACGGCCAGTTGCCGGATTTCTTAAGTTGATCAAAGGTGGGTGTGGGCAGCGGACTACTTCTTTCCCTCTTCTTATTTTGGCTACTTTCCTGGAAAGATTTTCTCGGTAGGGCGGATGGAGGGAGGGAGGCGCCTCGACTCGGGCCCACGTGGAGGTGTGTGTCGGCGTGGGTGGCTGCGCCGGCTGGCCGGCCGGGGACCGGAGGTGCAGGCCCGCCCTCGCCCCCCCCCCCGTCTCCGCCCGCCCAGCCTCGCACCCGCCGACCCTGCAGCCCGCGGTGTGCGAACCCGGCAAGCTGGGGCGCACGTTGTTAGTATTCGGGGGGCAGGTGGGACCGGAAGAGCGTCCTCTCGGTGCGGGCTCGCTGGCGGCGCGCGCCCAGGGGCCGGGGCCACCGCCGCGCTCCCCGGGGAGGCGGAGGCTAGGTCACCGGATCGCGCCCGGGGGCCGGGCTCGGGGTGAGCGCGGCCTGGCCTGGTCCCCGGGCAGGCCCCCGCAGCTCCCGGCCGCAGATCAAACGGCCGCGAAGGCAGCGGTGTGTTTGCAGGTCCGAGCGGCGGGGAGGGGAGAGGGCTGGCTCCCGGGGTTCGGTGATTGTCGGGGGGCGGGGAGCGGGGTGGGCCCCCCGACTCGCCCTCCTCCCCAGGAGCTGGCCACCTTCCCGGGCCAGCACCCCCCCCCCCCCCCACCCCGCACCCGGGAGTTGGGGTGTGTGTGGAATGGGACCGTGTTTGACCCCCCTCCCAGGAGGTAATGGGGTGAGGGAGGGCAAAGATGTGGGTCGCAGCTCCCGCCCCCCAGGCTCCCATGTGCTTTTGATTGCATCTCTTAGGGGTTTTTCCTTCTTTTTAAATGTTGTCCACCTGGTTCTCTCCCGGGCGCGAACGCCGGCGTTTACACGGAGACACTTAAAAAACAGAAGTTTAGCCTCGACCCCTTCCCCGCCCAAGCACACAAAAGTAACCGCGGCGGGGTGGCGAGGCCGTGGCTCCGCGCGCGGGTGCCCGGGGCGGCCCCTCCCCCAAGTCCGAAAGCGCCTTTGGGGGGTGGGGGGTTTGCACCGATCCAGTGTACTTCACTCACAAAGCCCCCTTCGGGGGGGGGACCCGGGGGATTTTCTTGTATTAAAAAAAACGCACACCCAGCCCCCCCCCCCCCCCGCCTGCGGCGGGCGCTGACGGCGAGCGCGGTTTGAACGCGTGGCGGGCCTGGGCCACGGGTGTGCGCCCCGGCGGGGTGTGCGTGTGAGCGCGCGCGCGCTCGCGTGCGTGTGTGTGTGTCTCCGGGTGTGCTTTCTTGTTCTCTTGCAGGGTACAATGTTAAAAAGCCACCGCTAGTCGCCCCCAGTGCTCCGACTCTCTGGGTCTTTTTGTCTCTGGTGCAGATTAAACGTCACGTCCGCACTTGAACTTGAATTTTATCCCATTGTACAGAGGCAGCCCCAGCCATAGAGAGACCGAGAGCTCCCAGAGAACCCGGACTCCGCCATCTTCACGTTGCAATCTATAGCTCCCAGTCCGGCGCCCGCACCCGCAGCGACCCAGGCGCCCTGGGCGAGCCGCCCCTCCGCCCCGCTGCCCCCCTGGGCCCTCGGCGCCCGGGGAGCGCTGGGGAGCCTCGGCTCGCGGGGACCCGGCGGCCCCTCGGCCGGCGCCAGCCCGCCAGGTGGACCGGGAAGGAGCCGCTCCCGGGGTGTCCCCCCGCCCCCCTCCCCGCCCCAGCCTCGGCGGGGTCAGCCTGCGGGAGAACCCGGGGCGGCCGGCGGCCGGCCGGGAACCGCCGCCGAGCCGCGACAGTGTTACCATTGCTCCGGGATTTTTGAGGGGGCGGGGTGAGGGGGTACGAGACAAGTCCCCAAGTTTTCTTCGCTTTTCCCCCTTTTGCTTTCCCTTCGTGTCCCCCTCCTCTTCTTTGGCTGGCTTTCTCGCTCTTTTTGTTTTTGCCAGTTTGTTCGCGTTTTTTCCTCTCCCCTCCATCCCCGCCCCGCGGCTGGCCGAGCGCTGCTTTCCAACCTCGCCAGACCCTGCAGGAAAAGTGTCAGAGGCGGGCGCGCAACCGCTGTAAGTTCAGCCAGACACCGACAAGTCCGAGAGGCCGAGCAGTGTGAAGAAGTGTAAGAGAGATTTTTTTTTCCTCCTTCAAAAGCTTGTTCTTCCCCTGTGGTAAGGAAACCAGCCGGTCCGTCCGTGGCAAGCAGCAGCGGGTTTATTTATTTATTTTTGTTGCCTTTTATTTTAGCTCGAGTTTTTCCCCCTTTTTCTTTTTCTTTTTTTGCAAACAAAACAAAAAACAGCATAGAAGAAAGAGCAAAATAAAGAAGAAGAGGAAGAAGAGAGCAAGAGAAGAAGGGAGGAAAAAAAAAAAAGCCAACCCACCACCAGCACCAGCAGCAGCACCAGGAGCAGCAGCAGCCGCAGCCGCAGCAGCCCGGGCGGAGGAGGCGGCGCGGCGGCGGCGGCTCGGACCCCTCCCCGGACCCATCAGAGCGGCTCTCCGGGCGATGCCGGAATAGATGCAGGGCCATGTCCCGCCGCAAACAGGGCAACCCGCAGCACTTGTCCCAGAGGGAGCTCATCACTCGTAAGTGTCTGCGGGGTGCGCGCGCGGGGGGCCGGAGCCGGGGAGCCCGAGCCGGGCTGCAGGCGGGCGGGCCCGGGCGCCAAGGCCGCCCGCGGGGCCGCAGGAGCGGCGGGGTCAGCCCGGAGCGGGGCGGCCGGGGGGCGGTGGAAAGTTTGTCTGCAGCCCGGGGGAAGCTGGCGTTGCGGCGCGGCCCGGGCCCGGGCAGTGGTGGTGGCGGGGAGGAGGGGGGCGGGGGCTGCGGAGCCGGCTCCGGGCTGGGGAGGGGGGCGGCCGGGCCGTAGGAGGCGAGCGCGCGCGGAGCCCGGCCGGACGCTCGGCCCTCCGCGCGGCGTGTGCGGCGGCGGCGGCGGCGGCGGGGTTTGGAGGGAGGGGGGAGGGGGCTGGGCGCGGAGGGGGAGGGGGAGCCGGGAAAAGTTGGCGAGCGCGTGGGTCCGCGCTGACGGCAGGCACGGGCTGCGGAGATCGGGGTGGGTGCGCTCCGGACTCGGGGGGAGGCGTGCGCGCGCGCGCGCGCGGGCCGAGAGGCGGCCGGCGGCCGGTGCCCGATTTCCCCCCGGTTCCCGGTTGCTGCGCCCTGCCCGGCAGGGCGCCCGGGCCCCGCGGCTGCGGGGATTCCGCAGCCGCCTCGCCCGCCCGCCCCTTTTCCTGCTATTTGCAAAAGAATCCAGCTGCGCGGCGGAGGAGCGCGGGGCCCGGCGCCCCCTCCCCGCTCCCCGCTCCCCGCCGCCGCCGCCGCCTCCTGGGGCCGCCGGGGCCGCTTTCACCACTCCAAAAAATAAATGCAAAAAGAATTACGTGGTGGCGATCGGGGTCGGTGACAAATCCCCACCACGCGCACAGCGTGTTAGCGGGAGTGGGCAGAGAGGCGTGCACTTGTAAAATCGTAAAAAACAAAAACAGCCCTAAACCCAGATCAACAAAACCCCCAGACACCGAAAATGCATAAAGGAAGGGGCGAGAGAGAGCGGTGGGTCCCCACCATCCGCCCCAGCATCTCCCAGCCCCGGATCTAAGTCCGCCCGCCGCCCCGCGCGGGGTCCGGGCCGGTGGCGGGGCATGCAAATTTCAGGCAGCGGCGGCAGCTCGCAAAGCCCGGGCTGGGTTTGCCAAGAAAAAAGAAAAGGGAAAAAACAAAACCAAACAAAACCCAAACCGACCCGAGCTGGAGCCGCCCGGGTACCCAGGTTTGCTGGGGAGCCAGTCCGGGTCCCCGCGCGGTGGCTGCGGCCAGGTCGCTTCCCCCGCGCTCCGGGCCGCCCGCCCGCCGCCCGCGGGGGCGCTTCCTCGCCGCGCACCTCTCCATCCATTCCCCCGCCTCGCCCCGCCCGGCTGTGCGAGCTGGGTCATCGCCGGGGCTTGTATTTATTTGTTTCATTGCAATAGAAATAAAACGTCCTTTTGGGTGCCATCGCGATCGCGGGCAGGTTGTGTCTTCCGGGCGCTCTGCGGCTCTCCTCCTACCTCCGGGCGCTGGGGCCGGGCGCTCCCGGCCGCCGCCGCCGCCGCCTGGCTGCCCGGAGGCGGCCGACAGCCGGAATATTTATGTTATATTTTAAAAAATTTAAATAAATAAATAAATATATAAAGGGGTTCTCCCCTCCCCTGGAAACTCCGCAGAGGAGCCATCTGCTCGGAGCAGTGTTGCCTTGGGGTTCTCTCCTTTGTTACTCAAACGTGTTAGTAAGAATTTGTGGATTTATTATTATTTATTGTTGATAAGTATTATTTTCAGGGCCGGGGGAGGGAAGGATTAGGTATTTTCACCGGGTTCTGGGGAGAGGGGAGATGGCTTTTGGAGAAGGGAAGAGGATCTCTTATTAATTGTGACGGTTTGCTATTGTAATACCAAAGACGACTTGCTGGGCTGCGATTAAAATCAGCTGTTTTATTGTATTTTTGCATCTAGATTTGAGCCGGGTGTGATCGGGGTCTTTTTCTGCCAGTTGACATTTTTTAAAAATTCCTTTCTCCAGCCGTGGGCAGCGCTTTGGCTGGGGTGGTCTTTCAGATCTCTCTTCTCGACCATGTCTAGTTTTCTCCAGGAGGCAGTTTGCCCCACGGAGCCTCTGTCTAATTGCAAAGGTTGTTTTTGAGGCGGGGAGGTGTGTGTGTGTGTGTGTGTGTGTGTGTGTGTGTGTGTGTGTGTGTGTGTGTGTGTGTGTGTGTGCTGGGGGTCTACAAAGGGGGAAGATGTTGGGGATGTGCTTCCAGGCTGGCAGCGGTGACAAGAACCAGGAGCGAATACAGTTGTGTGTAAGGGGAAGGAGGCAGGTAGGTGTGCTCTGCTTTTGCTTTCTCTCTCTTGGCATCCCCCCGGGCATCAGGAGCGAGCCTTGGCCAGGAGGACCAGTGGGCAGCTGAGCCTGGGGGCAAGGCCACATCCTCCTATTCTGCACTTGTGCACGGCCTCAGCCTTCTCGGAGCTGCCTAGGGAAAACCAGCGGACACTGGCATGGTGGCAGGGAGGGAAAGGAAGAGGATAAGGGCCAAAGCAATCCTGCCTGCCTTCCAGGGACAGTGGGAGCCTGGCTTTGTGCAGGGGTTTAAGCAGGGAGAGTGGTCCAACCAGTTCTTAGACAAGGCTACTTATTATTTAAAAAAAAAAAAAGCAGCTGGCTTTTCTGTCTGTCCTGTGTCACCCAGGAGGTAGGAGCAAGCAAAGCAAATGAAGGAATAGGGTGCACTTGAAGCAACATAGCCTGGGGACCAAGTAGCCCCTGGATTTAGGGCTGCTGGGGGGGTACCTAGCAAAGCAGGGGCAGTCACAGCCCCCAGTGGAAGTAGAGGGGGGCTCCCATTTGAGATTGCATATATGAAAGAGACCACCAAAAAGGCGGCTCATCGCTATCGTTTGCGTGGCAGCCTTGCAGGCCTGTGGGGCAGAGCTTCGATTTTTTTTTTTTTTTTTTTTTTTTTAGGGGTGATGTAACCCAGGATAACTGATGGCCTGGGAAAGCAGAAGAACACGAAAACAGCATCTGTGGTCTAGGTTCAGGGAGCAAGACTTCATGTTGAGCTAGCTCAATATGCAGACAGAGCCGGTGAGAAGAAGAGTAAGGTAGAAAAGAGTGAGGAAGACAGCTGGAGGAGAAAACCTGGGCTTCTGGCTTGTTTCAAAAGGTTTGACCCAGATGGAGATGGCTTTGCAAAGCAGAGGGCAGACACAGCTATTAATAAAAACAAACACAAAAAACAACCCAGGGACAATACTGAAAGGAGGTAATGGGTAGCCTCTGAGCAAGGAGAAGACCAAGAGCCGGAGATGCCACTCAGGCCAAGGGAGCAGGAAATGTGTTTTGAGTCTCTGGAGAAGCTTCAGGTTTTACGAAGAAATGTCAGGAAATAAGATGTCCAGGCGAAATTACTGCAGGCCATTTTTCAACAGCCCACCAACAGGTTTCCTGGGAAGATCAGTAATTTTCCTTATGAATTCATGATTTTTTTTTTCCCCAAGCATAGTCAGCCCCAAGATTTGACACAGAAGTTAGGCTAACTGTGTTAATTCTATGCTTGCCTTCTAAATTGGTTTTTGCTGTAGCTGTGTGTTTTGAAGGTGTTTGTGCTCACTCACAATGATCTGAACTCTCCAGAGGGAGAGCCTACTTGCCCTTTCAGACTGGGCTATACATTTCCTAATACAGGCAGGTCCTCTTTTGTCCCCCTCCCCGTATTTTCTTTTTTGGGGTAGTTGGTGGGGGCCGTGAAGTTTGCCTTCCTCTGCGCAGAAGGGAGCCCCATATCGTTAGAAGTGTGATATGTCAGCTGCTCTGATTCCACGGGAGAATAAACATGTGTTCATCAGAGGTGTTATGCCAGGCTGATTTTACTCATTTGTAATTCACACCTGAGAGAAAACAGCCCTGACCATATTTTAACAACCTCTAATATTTTTAAAGGGTATTGCCCTCCCCCCCCAAGATTTTATACATAATCCATGTTTCTTTTGGAGGAGAGAAGAGAGGAGGTTGCTATCCGCCTTCCCCTTGGTGATTTTTGACTGGCCCTGGAAATCTTTCATAACAGAAAGGAGTCCTTTCTCCGGGGTGAGGGTAAATACAGCCGCACTGGGAGCTGGCCTTAAAAACATGGAGGGAGGTGAGGTTAGGTTGTTGGGTGAGATGCTCAGCTGACCACTGCAGGACTGCGAGGGTCTTCCTTGGCCAGAGGGTGCATTTGACAATAATTAGACTGTTATCTCAGGTGAGATGGAAGCTACCCTACCGTTGGATTACAAGGTCCTAGTTTCCATCTATGGCATATACTACTTTCTAGCAATCTTATCCGAATTTGACTTCTGCATGGTCTTATAGCACCGAACGTGACTTGTCCCCGCCTTTACTTACCCCCATTACAGCTCCTCTGTCGATTGCATTGCACTCTCTGTTGCTTGTTGTGATAAAATACTTTTCAAAATAAACTTTCAGTGGAAATTGGCTTTTGCTTCATGGCAAACCTGCCTCTCGGAGGCGAGTCTGGCTGTGCTTGGCGGCTAGGGGGCGCTCTGTGTCTGTGTCATTGCTGCGCCCGCGCCTCCGCTACAATGGCTGGGAGCCGGGCCTGGCTGCACAATGTCTTAAGTGTGAAGTTGTAATATTGATTTTCCTGCAGAGAGTCGTGCAGGACAGAATGAGAATATAAGTTTGAGAAATCTATTTTCAAGCTATTGTCATTGATTTATAATCCTTCACTTGGCAGAGAGGGGGGCTATTTTCTTTCTTCCTTTTTTAATATATTCTTTTCCTTCCCCTCCCCTCCCAGCCCCCTCCTCCCCCCAAGCAATTAGGATTATTAGTCTTGAACGTGTGTGTTTCCCTGGATTTTTCTGTGGTGTGGATGTGTGTTCTGTGACAGCACTGGGGATCAGCCGCAGGTGCTGGGGATGAGTATATGTTCTTTTGGGTCAGACAACCTGCCTCTTTCTGAGCATGCCACTGACCCACCCCCACAGGCCTCTGAGGAATCACTGCTTGTGGCAGCTGGGTACTGAGAACAGCTCGTTG